TATCTCCTCTTTTGCAAGGTGTGCGATTTCAATTGTTCTAAAGCAAAACAATGATGATAATATAAAGATGAATACATAAAGGAAGTGGAAGAATCTGTAATCGCCCATAACTATAAAGCTATCAAATTCTCATCATCTTTATCACCTCCCCACGTGATGCTCTTGCTTCTGCTGGTGGGTGGTGGCCACAGCCTGTTTAACTCTGCTCATGGGCCGCGCCATAGCTCAAGTGGTTAGTCGCTGGCTTCCCATCGTGGCGGCTCGGGTTCGATCCCGGGTCTGGTCAAGTGGGATTTGTGGTGGACAAAGTGGCGCTGGGGCAGGTTTTCTCCTAGTACTTCAGTTTCCCCTACCAATATTCATTCCACCAATTTCTCCACAATCACCCTCGCCTATTATTTGAGGCTGGTACAATAGGCCAGAAGTGGCGCAGTACAAGGGACTTAGTCCCACCCCACTAGCAAAAAAAAAAAATAAACTCTGCCCACCGACCATCCGTACCACGTCCTATTCTTGTTGTCGTGTTAATTATTCAGTGGTTGGGCAGCAGTAAACTAATTTGAAATTGTTTACAATCTTCGTGGAAAGGGGGGAGAATGGATAAAGAGATGCTCGTCGTGGGTCGCTAGTTTGAGTCGTTAGAGATAAGATTCAGTCTCAGCGCTTTTGGCAGGGTCGCGCTTATTCACAGAGTCACTTTTTTGTGGCAATTGTCACTGGTGAATACCTTCAATCAACTACATTATACTTGCTTTTCTTTTATTTAGGAATGACACTGATTGTTGTCGAAGTACTTAAACACCTTACTTAAGCTTCGAAATTGATTTCAGAGATACCAAATTTCATTTTAGGCTGAATCGCTAGTCAGTAGGTAGCTCCAGTCAAGATTCTTTAATCACTTACACTGGAACTTAGAATTTCTAGTCAAACTTGTGGAAATACAGATTTTGCATCCAAAAAATCTGTGAGCTGGAATGAAACTAACTTAACAGACTGACTTCTCTCAAAACTAGAAGTCCTAATCGCTTCATTTCGGCCCACAAGCCACTTCCTTATGTTCCGACAATTGGTCAAATTTGAACAAGAGGAGTTTACCTCATTTCAACTCCAGTGACCTAACGTTTGAGTATGAGGGGTGAGCCATAAAACTGGCCCTAGCACTGCGACCTTCAATGGTCTGTTGTGCTTCCCATTTGGATTAACCATTTATTAATCGTACACTAAAAATGAAATGTAGGACTTTGTTTACAGGGGCATCATAAAAGTCACTTGGTTCCATGAAGAATTGACCCAGGTGGCGATATCTTAAATAAGCTATAGCCCCACAATCACATAAGATGTGTGTGGCTGATTCATCTTGTAGACACCCCTCACAAGTTGGGTCCTCTGTCAGTCCAAGTTTGGAAAGGTGTCCTTTTAGGTGGCAGTGTCCATTAAGTAATCCTACCACCCATCTGAGTTGATCTCTGTTTAATGTTAATTTGCCAGCTGATCTGCTGTTTCTTTCCCTACAATACCCTCATGACTTGGCACCCATATCAGTTGTACTGTCTTATGTTTGGCCAGTTGTATGAGGGATTATTGGCAGTCCCAAACAAATTTTGAGTTTGTCAACTGCTTTAAGTGCAGCCTGGCTGTCAGATAGAATGTAGATGTTCCTATTTTTATAGTTCCTATCTAAATTCTACATAATACATGCCTTAATGACATATACTTCTGCCTGGAGTACTGTCGTATACTGCCCAAGGCTGAAACTAATTTTCTGTCTTGTTCCATAGCAGTGCACACCAGTTCCAGTGTTCTTATTTATTTTGGAACCATCTGTATACCAGATTAGTTGTCCCTTTCTATCAGGTTGAAACCCCTCTTTCCATTCACTTCTATCAGGAAATCTGATTGTAAAGGGTCTATCATAAACATGTTTCGGTATCATTTTATCAGATCACACTTGTAGGATGGGTACTTTTTTCATGTCCTGAGTCGTGTATTCGGATGCATGTCCAAAACCTTTGGATTTAGTTTCCATTGATCATTGCAACATACTCTGTAATTTCCTAACTTGGCCTCTGCTACCATCGTCAAATGCAGTGTAGGGAGTCCAAGTAGGATTTCCATTGCATCTGTTGGAGCTGTTCTCATTGGAGCAATGAGTAATTTCCAAGCAGGCTGTCCTTTGCACTTTCCTAAGTTCTGCCTAACTTCTGTTGAGTTTAATTCTAGGCCACCATATAGTGGCTGCATAGGTGACCACTACAGTGTATATCCAATATACACGTACCACCTTTGGTGTCAGTCCCCAGGTCTTCCACAATGTGCCTCTGCATCTCCAGAATGCCTTATTAATAAGCCTTATCCAACTGATGTTTCCATGTCAGCCCCTTGTCTAAAGTTAATCCAAAGTACTTGACTTCACCAGACAGCCAGATCGCTTTACTGAAGAGTATTGGTTCTTTGAGACCCTTTACGAGTATATCTCTCTTCTTAGTAAAGGGTACAATTACAACTTGTTTGGGTTGATAGACAAGTTTGTCCTTTTGCACCACTGTTTAACTGTATACAGGGCTGATTGTAAGACCTCTGATACAGTGTGCGGGAATTTCCCATTAATTAGCATTGCTATACATCAGCATATCCTACTGTGAAGTGGCCTCTACTGTTGAGCTGTATACAGGGCTGTTCCCCCTTAATTAGGATTGCTATACATCAGCATATCCTGCTGTGAAGTGGCCTCTACTGTTGAGCTGTATACAGGGCTGTTCCCATTAATTAGGACAGTAGGAAGGACCAAATATGGGCAAGTTACTGGAACGGAAGTGGATTTAGCCAATGGGAATCGTCGATTCGTACGCGTACTATGAGGACGGAAGCGTGCCCATGCTTCCAGAAGGTATAAAACCCTGGAACATGGGGCAGGAAGTGGCTTATTATTCTCAACAGTCACTCGAGCCTTAGGAGCACGACACACATCGGGGTTCGAGGCACGCCACCGAGAGAAGACGGAGGAGATGGGCACATAGTTGCAGCCCGGTAGTCGTGGTCACATGAGTACTTGTTAATGATTGGCCACGATCCAGACTGTCATTGACTCATGGTTAGGATTAGGTGAACTAGGTAACATGTTAGAATTAAGTGTAAATCTACGTAATTAAAAGGGAACAGTTCATATCAACTACGCTCAGGCGAGACACTCCAGACGGAGGCTGGATGGCCACGGATCTTAGCCTTCTCGATTAAGCGAGTTTAAACATTTTACGCAGTATGAAATTATTGTACGACTAATGGGCTAGTTGACTGGCTAAGGGAACTAGAGACGCTACACTACTTGCTTTATTGTCAACCATACTTGCCTACATTCAAGTCACTGTGAGACATTACCCAGTGTGTATTAAGAGGAGAGTAGGTTAGGATAGTGCGCTTCAGGTAAACAGCCATGGGTTAAGTATATTATTACTTACATTCTCATATATATATATATACATATTCTTTTGTGTTTGTGTAATTGAGAATGTTTTTGTAAACATTGCCACTGCACCCTCACCCTCCCTGATCTGGCGAGACATATCTACCGGTGACCGCTGGGGAAGGTTAAGCCACCACTCTGCGGCACAACAAAACTGGTGGCAGCTGTGGGATTTTTTCGTAATTCTGCCCGAATTCCGGGACTTACGCTCGAGAAGTGAGAAGAGTGGGAAAGTATAGATAGCCCTCGCCACCCAGGGGTGCCCAGAATTGCAGTTACTAATGGGTTGTGTACAGTGTGGTACGACGTTGAAGAAGGGAAATAACCTCCTTCTTGCACCTAAGGGATTTGGTTTGATGACATTAGTGGGTAGCGGGTTTAACCTTTAAACGCCGGACTTCGAAGTAGTGGTAAATTTGAGCTGGCTGGAGTTTATTTAAATGCCCGCTGCTGGTGCTCGTTTAAATGCCTGTTGCTCCCTTGCATTTAAATGTCCGTTCCTGTTAGGCGGTTAATCAATTTTAAGCGTTGTGTTTAAAAATGCTGTATCTAGCACAATTTTTATGATAATGGATGGTATTAACTTTGATTATATCAGCAAAGAACATAGTGTCGCATATTATAACGGAAGATTTGAAATTTTTAATACAAAGTGTTATACTCTATTTTAAATTTTTTGTGTTTTAATTTTGATGCATACTACAAAATTGTTTCCCAGTTCTTCACAGAGTTTTTCTGCATTAGAAATTCATTTCTGTTTGTAACACTTGACAAATTTTAGCAGTCCCTGGTGTCATAAAACAGATGGAAGCAATAAAATCATTTGGTCTTCTGCTAGCACTGCTTACACCCTTCGGATTTTCGAATCTTTGACTGAAGGTCAGAAGAATGAAAGAATGGCTATTCAAGAGAAATCTAGAGGGGTCCCTTCTTCAGTGCTAAAACATTCCGTTAGAACTGCAAAAGCTTATTGCCCCTTCTATTTGAGTGAACAGACAGCTGCATCATGGCTGAGATACAGAGCGCGATCTGTTTTGTGTGCGTTCGTAGTGAGATTGAATACGGTAGTTTTATTTGAAACTGTATATACATCAAGCAGGTAACAACAAAAAAGGTATTTACATCAAATTTTACAATATATTTTTAACATACCTATCTGCAGAATCTGCAATAAAATTACTGGATCGTGGCTAAATTTTGGCATAACTCATACGTATATTTGTATTTGCTGTTGTTCAGTTAGGTATTATTTTAATTCCTCTATTAGGGTTTTACTCAAGTCTGTCTGGTAATTACTACATTTGAAAATAAATATTTAGGAATGTGCATGCGCTTCTACTAGCGGCGTGTGCGCACGCTTCTACTAGCGGAGTTTAAATGCCTGACTGGACAAAACGGGGTACTTTAGCCACGACGACCTTACTCGTGACTGGCACAAACTTGGCACTTCGGCACTTAAAGGTTAAGCTGACCACTCCTCTCCGTCTAGTGCCGAATTGAAGAATGGGGGGGGGGGCTATATCTCGATTCCCCCATGTTTTCATGGCATAGTGCATAACTATTTAAGCACATGGACAACTTTATCTACTTGAAGGGTGAATGCCATTTGACCTTAGAGTGTCAAAGAGGAAGAACCATGTTTTTATAGCCCGCCTCGTCTTTGTTAGCCAGCAAGACGTGACGTGCAAACAGTTGAAACATACTGACCATGAAATGGATACAAATTGCGCATCTTTCTGTTGCCACGTGGTTTATGTTATCCATGCCGAAAGAACATGTGAGCTAAATTACATAGATGTTGCACCCCAGCAAGTCTGACTGGCGCAATTTAGAGCCCTCTACGGAACACACAGACTACGTATACTGTAGGCAGGAGTAACTGGGACTTTGTTAGGTCACATGTTACAGGTAGTAATGACGTCATCCTCTATGAGGTTGGACGAACTACGGCTGTCTCTTTGATGGGAGCTTGTTATGGACTAGGGATGCCTTGGGACACCTCCTTGTGGTCCCGCCGGGCAACGTCAGTCTCGGGGTCTGGATCAGTTTGACCTTCCGGGACTGGGGGCTAAGTTCCCAAAATGGGCAATGTCATTACGACCGGAGCCTCCCTCGCGGCGGCATAATGACTCTTGGGTATCACTACGGCCTAGCCGGGACGAATGCGGGAGAGTATTCGTATGGGGGTAGTTTTGGCTACTTGAGTTTTCTCCTTAGAGTACCGATAAGGTGCCGCAAGCCTTCGGGCTCAACACTCTAAAACGGTTTGATTTGTCTCATTTTGGTCCGTCACACTATTGATTGTTATTTTGATTGTTTCCCTTATTTGTTTCTGTTCATCTATCAATTTATTGTGTTTGTTTTTGTAGTAATATATTTGGAATTCCTCCTTTATGCTCATTATATTACCTTTATTAGATTTTTCGATGATTTCCATGACCGTATTGATGACGATTGTTTAGTATGTGTCGGGCGTAAGCGGATTCATCTCTATTTAATCTTATGTTCCTTATGTGTTCGCTATATCGTGTTGATAATTTCTTTCCTATTTGGCCTATGTATACTTGATGGCAACTTTGGCAAGTTAATTTTTATATACCACAAACAATAAAAACATCATGTTTGACCATATTATACATCACTTGAACACACCCTCTTCAACGTCATAAACTCAGGAAGAATATAATACGAGACACAGCACTATTCAAAACAATACAAACGACACAGAACGCACGTAAACTACACGACTAATAATAAGGTGAGGCCTAACTAGACATTTTAAACCTAAAAGCATTATAAGTAGTTACTAAAGGATTCTGACGACAGTGTATAACACACTGATATGTTGGGTTTTTGGACGATGGATAAAGTCCAAAAACCCAACATATCAGTGGACTAAAAGCATTATATATAACTACTAGATGTACCCGGCCACGCGTTGCTGTGGCTCAGTCTGGTTAAATGGTAAAGAAAGAAAAGTGAAAGCGCACGTTTCTAATATGCTGATGCCCGTTCTTCCCCAGTTTGATTTGCAAATACTCGACGCACTGCTTGCGCTTCGCGAGTACGATGACCCAAATTTGATCTTCTGCGAGGCATTATTTGGATGAACTAAAGCAGATCGATTGCACTGAAGAAGAAGAAGAAAGAAAGTTATAACAAAACATATACAATTGCAAAACATTAAAAAAGGAAAGAACACGAACTGGAAAACAAAGAAACAGAAAAAAATACTAGCGAAATATTTCAATTTAAACGCAGATCAATCGACACAGCTCAATCCCACAGCCAATTGCACTGAAAAATAAGGAGAACAGTTAAGAAAACGAAATGAAAAACAATGAAAACTAAACTACACTCACGAAATGAACGACGTATATTAATAATGAGTACAATTAATATTTTAACAACCAACCAACCTGTCACAGGTGTGACATATGTCACACATGATTTTAACTTCATAAAGTAGTAAAATACATTTTTAGTAAGTGACATATTCTTGATGTCTTTTAAATTGTTGCATTATTTACGTGTACTTTGAAAATAAAAATATGTCGCGTGTTACCTATGTAATGTTGTTGTGGTCACGTGTCTCCTATTCAGTGAGACAAATAACTTCCACGTACGTCTCGGATTCAGGAACAAGTTATTGAACGCTCAGTTTTACGCTGGTGAGTACAATTATTATCACGTCCAGTATCACCAAAAAACACTTCAGAGCTGGACGGTTATAACCTGGTTTCGGACGCAATAGAGGGCACTTTCACCCAGAGTTCGATTTCACGTGTTCTGTGCTCTTTGCCTCGGTTATTCTTAGGCAACGATCTGTTGGTATTCGATGGACGACAGAACACCTTGTAGAAGTGTATGGTTTCATCCGTTCTTACGCAACGGAACCACTTATCCTCTCATCTCCGGGGAAACGCGTTTGTTTTTCGGCAATTCCTACGCCACGGCCCACTGTTATTGCGTTTCCATGGAAGTATAATTTCCGGTTTCATCCGTTGTTACGCAACGGAATCTCTTACCCTATGCAACTGTTCTAGCTTTACTATGGAAAGGACTGCTGGATTCGAAACATGTGACATGTTTTTACCTGTTTTTACCTGTCACAGTTGTGACATCTATATAACAGGTATATAAAAAACGCGCGTATTCGATTGCAACGTTGTATCAAAATTTCAAAGCAATCGGTGAAGAACTTTCGGAGATTTTCATACAGGGACAAACGAACACTTACATTTGTATTTATATACTAGCTGTACCCGGCCACTCGTTGCTGTGGCTCAGTCTAACGAAATATTTCAATTTAAACGCAGAGCAATCGACACAGCTCAATCCCACCGCCAATTGCACTGAAAAATGAGGAGAACAGTTAAGAAAACGAAATGAAAAACAATGAAAAATAAATATACTCACGAAATGAACGCTATGATAAAGGACACAGCCCAAATCCAACACAACGTCACACGAAATAACTAAATCAAAATGGCCAACTTTTGGTTCTACAGACTCACTTCTTCGGCGGTTATTCCAGACTAACTGGGCGAATGAATTGAACACCCCTGTTATACCCTCGGCCGCTGCTATGCAAATGAGCCTTTGTTATAACCGTGGAAACGTTGCTTTGTTGATTCGGCGTTTCCTACGCAACGACCCATTGTTATTGTGTTGTCTCTGTGGAACACTCCGTGTATTCGTCGTAACCGTGGAGATTCGAAGTTCTCGACATAACGGCTCAATGTTGGGATTACAGTATCGCTATTGTTACTTCCTAGGCAACGGCCAATTGTTGGGTCTAAAATACCGCTATTGTCGCTACCTATGCAACGGTCTGTTCTAGCGTTACTATGGAAGTGACTCCTGGATTCCGAACATGTGACATGTTTTTACCTGTCACAGGTGTGACGCGCGTATTCGAATGCAATGTTATGTCAAAATTTAAAAGCAATCGGTGAAGAATTTTCGGGGATTTAAGATCTTGAACAAACGAACATTCACATTTTTATTTATATAGATAGATTGACATTGTTAATGATTTTAACATCATAAAGTATTAAAATGCATTTTTAGTGAGTGAGATATTCTTGATGTCTTTTAAATTGTTGCATTATTTACGTGTACTTTGATAATAAGAATATGTCGCGTGTTACCTATGTAACGTTGTTGTGGTCACGTGTCGCCTATTCAGTGCGACAAATAACTTCCACGTACGTGTCGGATTCAGCGAATAAGTTATTGAACGCTCACTTTTACACCAGCGAGTACAATTATTATCACGTCCAGTATCACCGAAAACTCTTCGGAGCTGGACTATTATAACCTGGTTTCGGAGGCAATAGAGGACACTTTCGCCCAGGGTTCGATTTCACGTGTTCTGTGCTCCTTGCCGCAGAAATGCATTATTTCCGCTGTTTCAACAGTTCGTTCCGACGGTTTTTCCTAGGCAACGATCTGTTGGTATTCAATGGACGACCTATAACACGTTACAGTATATTAATATTGAGTGCAATTAAAATTTTAACAACCAACCAACCTATCACAGGTGTGACATCTATATAATAGGTATATAAAAACACGCGTGTGTTCGAATGCAACGTTGTGTCAAAATTTCGAAGCAATCGGTAAGAACTTTCGGAGATTAAGATCGGTAACAAACGAACATTTACATTTTTATTTATATAGACAGGTTAAACCTAATTTAATAATCAGGTGATCTTAAATCCATAATTTGATATCTAAAATGATTTAAAAGTGATCTTTCAAAATGTTATAAGCTGCGAGTAGCTTCGTGTTTGAGACTGCAGTAGACCACGCATAGGTTTCGTCAAATTTCTTATACTGTTTGTTACACTGGTTCACCATTTTAGTTTTGTAATGTTACCATTTTCCTAGAGAATAGATCCCTTTTCTTTCACGTTGTAGAGCGGCAATCTACAATTGTTTTTACATGTATTAATAGTGATATGTTATTCTGTATTTCAGCATCCTGTTGCAAATCATTAATTAAACGTCTATGTATTTAGTCCGTCAATAATGCAACAATCATTAAAATATTGTAACGTGTTTGGTTACTGAAGACGCCATTCGGATTATTAATTGGCTTATTTAACAACCTACAAGTCTCCTCTACAGTTGATTATAACACTGTTGCTGGGTTTCACACTTTATAACCCTATTCGAAATAATCTGTTCACACTGTTGTGGGGTTTCACACATAATCTCTTCCATCTGTGCTCAGTAGTCTACACGTATTCGCAGTACGGCAGTTATACAAGTCTCTCTGTATTGCACACTCCCAATTACACAATCACACAAGCGTCCGGTTCTTCTTTCCGCGACTGCTGCTAGATTCCAACTGAGTCACTCCTGATCACACATTGACTCGTTCACTGCTGACTAACTTTAGCTGTCTCCGACGACGGCTACATTTCAACTAACTCACGGTTACTGCTCAGCCGGCTTTTATGCCGTTCGCTGTTGCCTGTTGCCCGTGACAACAGCGGCGTTGCGTGCCTCGCCACAGAAGGTAGCGCAGCCACGTGTTACGTCACCGCGTGGAGAGGCGGGATGTTGACTGGCTTTGCTTAGCAACCCCTGTTTACTCGCTTTGCCTAGCAACCAGCGTGCCTGGACTCGGCTCACTTCGGCTCCGCTCGGCACGTCACGGCTGGCGGGGAGGGAGGGGCGTCATCCATAGCGCAACACTTCACAATATATACAATTCAACACCAACATGGCATGTTTCGGCCACAGGCGGCCGTCCTCAGGAACAACATACAAACAACGGGGCATATTAGAGATGTAGCTACTGAAACAAACTGTCTGGAATACATGCAATACATAGTTTAAACAAGTGGATGAAGCCCCTTACGAGGTGGAATAGGGTTTTATGGAGGATTTTAATTTAAGTGGACTGCAATACGCAATTTTAGCGTGCATCAAAGCAGTGTAGCCGTTTATGTCTCGAAACGCCTGAGGATGGCCGTCTGAGACCGAAACATGTCGCGTTGGTGTTGAATGGTGTATATTTTAAAGGTTGTTGCATTATTGACGGACTAAATACATACACGTTTAATGAGTAACATGTTATGTTACACTTAATATTTATAATAGGTTTTTGAATAGTAATTCCTTTATAATATTTCTTTACAACTTACGGTTAAAGTGTGCTGTTTTTAAATAGTTACTTGTATTAAATGATAGGTATCCAAGTGGGACAACTAGAGTGCTCGCAATCACAGACGTTACCACGGAAGTATCACGAAAAAGACACATTTTGAATGGAAGCCGCATGAATTTTTTTTTCTTCAGATTTCTTCAAATAAGAATTCATTATTTCGCTGTAATTATTTTCTGTGTTGTATTCGAAAATCTACTGATGAATAAGATGGGGGCTTACTGATATTATGAGCTGTGTAGTCTCTTAGTGAATATCTCAGACTTCTGGGTCGTCACCCAAGCAAACCTCAGGGATGGAAAAGCTGGCGTCATATAAGATATGTTTCCTTGGGGTCATTAAAAAGATTCTCTGTTAACCTAATACTGATTTTTAAAATTCAATTAGATTTAGTTTTAAATTAATATTTCCTCTGTTTAATTACATGCATGATTCTTGTTCGAATTAATGTCTAGACTAGTCTAGTCTAGTTGATCAATTGTGAGTGTGCGTGTATACATATAGAAGGTAACCTTTTTTGAACCTTATGTATATAAATGGGAATGTGAGCTTTGCAGTTCAGTGGTTGAGTGTGTGAGACTTGCAGGATCGAAACATGTAATGCTATATAGTGTGACATGTTGCGCAACGAAGGACCCCTACGTCCCCAGCGGCACGTGGCGGTAACGTAGCGATCGCGTAATAGGCGAGTCATTACCCCGCCACTCTCCCCGCGGTGACGTCACGAGCGGAGCCGAAGTGAGCCGAGCCCCCGCAACCTGGTAGCTATGCAACGCTAGTCAATAGCGGTGACGTAACAGGATGACGTGGCACTCCTTACGCAACAGACAAGCACTGCGGCTATATAAGTGAGCTGTACAGTTGCTGCGAGTTAGTTGTAACGTAACAGTCGCCGAGTCGAGTTGTAAAGTGACAGTCGCCGAGATAAGTAGTAGTCGAGCGAGTGTGTTATCAACAGTTCTCCAGTCAGCCGACTACAGTTGGAGTATAGCAACCGTCGCGGAAACATGAACCGGACGTGTGTGTGATTGTGTAATTGGGAGTGAACTGATTTGCGCATAGGGTTATAAATCATGAAACCCCGCAACAGTGTGAACAGATTAATGCGATTAGGGTTATAAAGTGCGAAACCCCGCAACTGTGTGATAATTAACTGTAGCCGTTATTTGTAGATTGTTAAATAAACCAATTAGCGGTCTCTACGGCGAATTCAGTAACGAAACACGTTACAATATGTTAATAAACAATTGTTGCGATGACCGTAGAATTTGTATATGTTGATTGCTAGTTGCAACTGTTTCACACTGTGAGGATTATCTTCCAGTTCACATAATTCTTGAACTGAAAT